CAGGCCCTGAGTTCAAGCCCTATGACCAGCAAAAAAAGAAAAGAAAAAGGAAGACTACAATCTATATAACATTGAAAATATGTATAATAAAACATGGAACACTGAATTCATTTCAAAGAAATTGGATCAAAGATGCATGAAATTATACTTTTTGCTGTTATATGCTTCTTGTGAAAGAGATTTTGCTTTTTACCATGGTATGATATAAAACTGCTGTGTTAGCACCTTATACTCTTAGTTTTTATGTACATGATAAAGGTGCAAGAACTAGAACATGTTTGAAGCATTTATATCAATTTCTATTTTAACTAAATGAAATCAAATACTCTGCTGTTTGATAACACATATATTTCAACACAATATATCTTTTAAATTCTGAAATGATACAAATAGAGCACATTTTATGTGTAATAGAACTGGGGCAAAGACAAAATCAATTTCACTGTATATACAGTACCTATCATTCATTCCCATCTCCATCAATGTATGGCACTTTTTAAAAAATAAGTTTTTTATTGTGAAAATAATGTACAGGGGGTTACAATCACATGAGCAAGGTAATGAGTACATTTCTTATCAAGCATTGTTGCCTCCTTTGTTTTCCCCCTAGTTGTGGAGATGGGAGGGAAGGTATGTATGGCACTTTTAAAATTCTTGATAACTACCCAGGTCCACTGAAACACGGTATCTCACAAATCTCTAGAAATCTGTATTTTTAAAATCTCCCCCAGATAATTCTGAGGCCTTTGATCATCAAACTGGTTAAAAATTATATATACAAAAATTATATATATAAATATATATAAGTATACACACATACATACAGACATAGTTGGGCGAAGTGTCATTATGTACAGTTGGCTTTAAACAACCAAGAATGGGAATATTTGGGAAAAATGTGCCTGTACTGAACATGTACAGACTTTTTCTTGGCATTATTCTCTAAATGATACAGTATACATTATTCTCTAAATGATACACATACAGTTTATATTTTATTAGGTATTCTAGAAATGATTTAAGGTATACGGGAAATGCCTGGTACTCGTGTGGTTCATTCCTGTAATCCTAGCTACTTGGGAAGGTGAGATCTGAGGATTAAGGTTTGAAGCCAGCCCTGACAGACAAATCCAAAAGACTCCTATTAACCAGTAAAATACCAAGTGGAGATGCGGCTCAAGGGGTAGAGAGTCAGCCTCGAATGAAAAAAAAACAAAGCAAAACAAAAAAACGAAACAACAATATGAGGTCCCAAGTTCAAGACCCAATATAAGTACAAAAATAAAAGGATATGGAATGATATACATATATTATGTGCAAATACTATGTCACTCATCCTAAGAGACTTGAGTATCCACAGATTTTTGTTTGTGACAGTGGTTCTAACAAAGTATTCTCTCACAGATACTAAGGGAAGACTATATACAAGATATGCTTGTATATTGCAGGCATTCAAGATATATGTGTGTGAAAACAATTTTTACTTAAAATGCTATTGGTCACCAGAGGACCAAATTAGTTTGTCCAGGAGATAAAACCCTGGTTAGTCATCAGATGCATTTAGAAAATGGAGAACCATCTTGCTCAGCAGCCTGAAAAACAACATTGGATTAGTGGATCAATTTCTAATGTAGTTGCATTTGGTTATGACTCTGAATTCTAACTCTATGCTCTTGTATAAAGAAGGATGTTCACTCTTATGAGAATGGTCTAGTTTGTAAATTATCTCTATCTTGTTTCCTTTTCCATTAAATATTTTACTTGATAGAATAACTAAACACAAATTATAATAGCATCCAACATTTATACAGTTTAAAATTACAATATAACCTATAAACTTGACTATAAAATATAATTATAAACTTGTCTATTTTCTTTATAAAATGTTCTCATTTGCCTCTTGAGTGAACAGTTTGTTAGCAGCTACCTCATGTGTAAGAGTGTAACATTTAATACAAAAAAGATAATCACTTCTTTTCTATTGTCAGTAAAGAAATTTTCAAAAGTGCAAAACTTGCTACTCTCTTTTTAAAAAGCAATCTTCACAAAAATGTTAAGTGAACATATATTTATTTTTATTTTATTTTTTATTTTTATTTTGTCGTCATGGAACTCTGGGTCTGGGTGCTGTCCCTGTGCTTTTCAGCTCAAGGCGAGCACTCTACCACTAGAGCCACAGCGCCACTTCCGGTTTCTAGTAGTTTATTGGACATAAAGTCTAACGGACTTTCCTGCCCGGGCTGGCTTTGAACCGTGATCCTCAGATCTCAGCCTCCTGAGTAGCTAGGATTATAGGCATGAGCCACTGGCACCCAGCTCTTATCTCTCTTTAATGAATCACCAAAAGAGCCAGAAGTGGAACTGTGGTTCGAGTGGCAGAGCCTTAAGTGAAAAATCTCAGGAAGAGTGCCAGGCCCTGATTTCAAGCCCCAGACGAGTACACATGTATATGTGGACACATACACAAACATTTTAATCTCTAATATGGTAAAAAAACTGAGAGAAATATTACACATAAACAAGTGTTCTTTGGAGCCCTGAGCAATTAATTTTTTTTTGGGGGGGGGGTCCGGTCATGGGCCTGAACTCTGGGCCTGGGTGCTGTCCCTCAGCTCTTCAGCTCAAGGCTAGCGCTTTACCACTTGAGCCGTAGTGCCACTTCTGGCTTTTTTTTTTTCTGCTTATGTGGTGCTAAGGAATCGAACCCAGGGCCTCATGCATGCAAGGCAAGCGCTCTACCACTGAGCCACCTTCCCAGCCCCCTTACCCCCCCCCCAGTAATTTTTTAAGAGTGCAAAGGAATTTTGAGACCAAAGGTTTAAACACATGATTTATGTTTATACATGTTATTTAATAATTAGTTCAACTGGTTTAGTATGTATGAGTGTGGGTGGTATATATGTGCCAGTACTAAGACATGATCTCAGGAACTGGGTGCTACCCCATAGGTTTTTTGTTTTTTGTCCCTTATTTTTTTTTTTTGCTCAAGTCTGGCACTTTTCCATCTGAGCCACACCCCAACTTCTGGATTTTTTTTTTCCCTACTGGTTAACTGGAGATAAGAATCTCATGGACTTTCTTTTCTGGACTAGCTTGGAATAGCTATGGTCAGATATCAGCCTCCTAAGTAGGTTGGATTATAGGTGTGTGCCCTAAGTGTCTAGCAGATATAGTTTTTTTTTTTTTTTATGTAGGCAATATTGACCAAGATTAGAATTGGATTTTTCAAATTCTTAAAAATTGATTTTTGTGTAAATTTGTGTATGTGTGCACACGCGTGCCCATGTGCATGCACACGTACACACACTGGTACCAAGCCTTGAACTCAGGGCCTCCTGCTCTTGCTTTTTTGCTATGCCACTTAAGCCAAAGTTCCACTTCTGCCTTTTTGCAGGTTAACTGGAGATGAGGGTTACATGGACTTTCCTGCCCAGGCGGGTTTTAAACTGTGATCCTCAGATCTCAGACCCTTTAGTATCTAGGATTATAGGTGAGACCCACCAGTGCTCATCAATTTTCATCTAGATTTGTATATTGAAAATTATCCTGGTGACCTAATCAGTTGTACCACTTACTCTATCACGCAGGGGGCTCAAATTGTGCACCTCAATTTGCAGCTAAGGGGAACAGTCTCCTAGAAACACTGAGTTTCATGTAAAGTGTCAGCACAGTACATTGAATTCAATAGCTTGTTATCTGAGGCTACTGGGGAAGGGGGTGTCCTCTGAAAAGAAATAGGGGAAGATAGTTGGCTCTTTTCCTCCTCTTTCCTACTTCCCTTTCCCCTTCTCCCTTGTCTTTTCCCTTCCCTTCCTCCTCTTCCTTTCTCTCCCTCCTTTCCTCTCTCTCTCCCTTCTTCCTTCCTTCCTTTTCCCTTCTCCTGGTGATCCTCTTGCATCAGCCTTGTAACTAGATAGGATTAGAAGTGTGCATCACTGCATCCAGTTTGCTTTTATTTTACAGTTCTCTGGTATGCTCTCCATCTTTTCATTTCACTTCCACAGCAGAAGAGGATTCTTCTTCATCCCACTTCTGATTGGGCACGGGTAGCCGATGCCTGTAATCCTAGCTATTCAGGAGGTTGAGATCTGAGGATCACACGTGGATGTCAGCCTGGGCAAAGAAGTCGGTGAGACTTACTCAACGAAACTACCAAAATAGCTGGAAACGTAGCTGTGGCTCAAGTGGTACAGCGCTAGCCTTGAGCAAAAAGTTCAAAGCCCAGGACCACCAGGGGGAGGGAAAAAAAGAAACCCTTTCATGAGGAAAACATGTTGTTAGTAGTTTAGGGGCTCGGGGCTGGGAAGGTGGCTCAGTGGTAGAGCGCTTGCCTTGCATGCATGAGGCCCTGGGTTGAATTCCTCAGCACCACATAAGCAAAAAGAAAAAAGCCGGAAGTGGCGCTGTGGCTCAAGTGGAAGAGTGCTAGCCTTGAGCTGAAGAGCTGAGGGACAGCGCCCAGGCCCAGAGTTCAGGCCAAAAAAAAGTAGTTTAGGGGCTCAACTATGCTTTATAAGGTTAGTTGAAAAAACAAACCAACTTGAAAACCTCATAGAGGAAAGGAAGTGGAGGTTTCCAAACCCAGATAAGCCTCAAGTTTATGAAGCAGAGAAAAAAGAAAAAAAAACAAAGCGTAAAATCTAAAGGCAGTTGAAAAGAAACCCTTCTCACCTTCTCACCTCACTGTGGCCCAGTTTTCTTTTCACTGACTGACTCCTATTTAACTTGGCCAGCACAAAACACGCACCGAGGGTGGTGGCAGACAGGACACCTTCTTAAACAAATGCTCATACCTTCTGGGTAACAGAAAGCCAGAAGGCCGGCTAAAGCTTCCGGGAGCGCGCCTGCTTCCCGCCCAAAGGCGAAGGGGCGTTCCGGGGGCGTGGTCACAGGCCGGGCCAATTCGCTTCTCTGCCCGTCCCTACTCTTTTTTTCTCAGCTTCCACGCCCACGTCTTTTCACCGTGATCCCGGCAGGCCTCGCGGGGAGGACGAGTCACGTGATGGTGGGAGGAGCACAGAGAGGCTGATCCGGGCTGTCTTTGTGGTTGTCAGAGGCGAGCGGCGTTGACGGAGTTGCTGGTGAAGCTGGAGCGGACGGGTGAGTGTAAGACTCAGCGTTGGGAAGAGAAAGCCTTTGAGGGGAACCGAAGCAGGACAACTTGGGCACCTGCCCTTGAGGCCAGCCATTCGGGTGGCCGCGTGAGGCAGTTGTCTCTCGCAGATTCCCTCAGCTTGGGGTGCTGCCTGCGTCCTGCCCTCCTATCCCTTGGGGATCCCGGGTCCCTCAGCCCTGTCCCAGGAAAACTTGTGCACCCGCGTCCGGGACCCTGATAGTCCTGACAGCGTCTCCGGGAGTTCGTAGGCGTGGGCTGGGGGCTTTACGGCGACACCTACGATAAACAGGTAGACTCATCATCCCGTCGGAAAGAGAAATGGAAAATCACTGGGCACCGTCAAGGAGCAAAACCTAGGGCGGCAGGCAGGTCCTTCCCCGGGCCTTTGCATTCTCATTCTCTGTCCATCTGTCCGTCTTCCGGCCACCCAGACTGCCCCCACCCCCGCGATGCCCAGTCTCAAGTTTTCTTCCTATCTTGGTTTTGAGAATGTGAATGTTGGGAAGAGAGTTTGAAGACTGACTGTTTTTAAAGTTGTCATCTCTTGTGATCTTGGGTTTTTAGGGTTTTTCCTAATATAATTTTATCGATATGATTAAGGTGTTGTACAGAGGAGTACCATTTCATAAGATAGAGTATATTTTTTTCTAATTGCACAATATCACCCCTTCCTTCGCTCTTCCCCAGTTTACCCCTCCCATCCCTGCTCACAATTTTCATAGTTCATTTTTCACATAGTGTACACTGAATAGCATGATTGCATTTATTTACCCTTCCTCACTCCCATTCTGTGCCCTCTTTCTCTTAAAAAAAAAAAACAACAACAAACCTCAAAGCAATACCCAACAAGCAACAACAACAAACACATTGGGTTCTTTATCTTACTTTTTACATGCCTGAAAAATACTTGTTCTCCTTGGAAAGAGAGAACATAAATGAACATGAACTCTCTTCATTTAAAAGTAGATATTTCGGCACACTTTTTGCCCCCTTGGAAATGGCTTTGTGTTACAGCATCCTTTCAGGTCTGGTATGGAAGTGGTCCCTGAACTATATGACAAACTGATAAAATTTGAGACAAAAGTGTTAGCTAGGATGATCAACTTGCTGGCTTGCTGGTATGGACAAAGTTAATGAGTTTGTTGAATATTGCCTTACCCTAAGAATTTTAGAACCTACTGCCACTTGTCTGTGAGAAGATGATTCTGACCTTCACCTACTCTGTTCTGTTCTGTTTTGTTTTGTTTTGTTTTGTGACAAGGTCTCATGTGTAGCCCAGGCTAATGAACCTCGTGCTTCAGCCACTCTAGTGGTGGCATGAGCCACCTGGTCAGCTCTCCACTCTTGCCACCACTTTTAATAATCTTTGATTATCTCTTCCACTAACCACTTACTTATGTCAAAAAAGTGTCAGTGATACCTAACCGTACTTCTTGGGAGTCATAAAATACAAAATAGTAACAGAAAATGGAGATTTAAGAATGTTTGCCTGGGAAGAAAAGGGAAAAGTGATAGCAATGAATAAAAGTTAATCATCCGGGCACTGGTGAGCCACCAGCTTATCCTAGCTACTCAGGAGGAGGCAGAAATCTGAGGATCACTGTTAAAAGCCAGCTTGGCAGGAAAGTCCATGAGACTTTTACCTCCAATTAACCACCAGAAAACCGGAAGTGGCGCTGTGGCTCAAGTGGTAGAGCGCTTGCCTTGAGCTGAAATGCACAGGGACTGTGCCCAAGCCCAGCGTTTATCTGTCCGTCTTCCGGCCACCCAGACTGCCCCCACCCCCGCGATGCCCAGTCTCAAGTTTTCTTCCTATCTTGGTTTTGAGAATGTGGAATGTTGGGAAGACCAAGAAAAAGAAATCAAAGCAAGAGAATAAAAACACTTATTGTTGCCTTTTTATGTTCACTGGAATATTTACTACATTCAGTCGATTTTTGTTTATTTTTTGAGACAGTCTTGCTATGAGTCCTGGGTAGCCTGGATTTCCTGGGTTCATCCAATCCTCCTGCCTCAGCCTCCTGAATAGTTGGGATTCTAGATAGATAGGTGGATGGCCAGCTTTATTTAGTACTCTTTACACTCTCAAAGGATGCATCTTGAAATGGACTTACATATATTTAAGATAAAATATCTAATGGTGTATAATTTCTCCCATAATTCAATGTTGTATAAATTATAGCTGAAATATTTAACTGACAAACCTGTGAGATTTTACATTATTTTATGTTACAGAACTAATGTAATGGATATAGTGGTGAAGCCTTTTTTAAACATAACTTTTCTACTTTAAAGTTTTAGTTTTACATTGTGAGCAATTTTATTTTACTGTGACTACGACTGTAGCATTTGCTAAGTATTAGCCATTTTTTACATATAGAGTTTTTCCCCCCCTTTTTTGTTGGTTATTTTTTTGCCAGTCTTGGGGCTTGAGCTCAGGACCTGGGCACTGTCCCTGAACTTCTTTTGCTCAAGATTAGCACTCTACCACTTGAGCCACAGTGCCACTTCTGGATTTTTCTGTTTATGTGGTGCTGAAGAATCAAACGCAGGGCTTCATGCATGCAAGGCAAGTACTCTACCACTGAGCTACCTTCCTAGCCCACAGAGTTGTTTAATGTATTCCACTTATATATGAGAACCATTTTTCTTCTTTTTGGTAGTTGTAGTACTGGGGTTTAAACTCAGAGCCTCACACTTTATAGCACTTGAGCCATACCTCCAGCCCCAAGAACCAATTATTTAAAAAAGGTTTACTACTCAGAACACTTCTGCCCTTGCCCCCTTGCTAAATAAAAACTTTATTTTATGGCAGTGAAAAATGTGATATTTATTTATTTATTGCGGTACTGGAGTTTGAACTCCTACTTATTACCACTAGAATCATATTCTCATCTCTAGGTTGTGACTTAGCTTTTAAAAACATCATTTGTTAACTTATGAAATCTAAAACTCTTTGATTGTATATATATTTTGTAAATAATTTTTTGGTGTTGGTACTGGGGCTTAAACATAGGGGCCTGGAATTCTTGCTTAACTTTTTTGCTCAAGGCTGGTACTCTACCACTTGAGCCATATCTCCACTTCTGCTTGCATATATTTCTTTCATTATTACAGGTATAGTGCCTTTGCTCTAGAGTATTGAGGTTTAATGATGTAAAGTGTGTTGTATACTTGGCTAGTTTGTCCACATTGATTATAGCAGGGTTTTTTTTTTTGTTTCTATTTTTGTTTGGAGCTGAGAACTTAACTCCAAATATTAAATAGACATAATTCCGTATCTTTGGACCCAATGATCATTGCTATTTTTACTGTGGATGAACTTGGCTAAGTAACTGCAGCTTATAAGCAGTAAATAAAATGTTTTAAATATTTAAAAATATGTAATCAATAAGATTAAATGCTTGATTCTTTTCATTATTCTATGTTCAAAGTCTCAGCAGAGGAACCACCATTTTGAACATTATGTGAAAAATACCGTAACTATCACTATTTGCCATTACTGGGTATCAACTTTAAAACTAATTAACATTAACATCTGGTTTTATATCCTTATGCATTATTGTGGTAGCTTATTATATTTGAAGAAGAACTGTAATTAGAATAACACATTTATCTCTCTGTCATGTTTTTGATTGAAAGAAATGTCAGCAGCTCAAGTCAATGGCATTTGAACTTTAATTGCTAACATTGGCAACATAGGGTTCAGTTTAGGTAGTTCCATGTTCTAAATTCCAGCCCTATCATTTCTTAAATTGAGCAGGGTATGTAATGGTTCTGAACGTGAATTTCTTCCTTTTGCAAAATGGAAATAATAATGCATCGCAAAAGTTCTTATGAAGAGTACGTTAACTAGTGTGCCTAGTGTCTGGAACGTAGAAGGTACTCATTGAATATAATTGTCAGTAATAACTGCGGACAGAGCTTGCTGGCTTATGCTTATAATATTGGCTCTTTGGGAAAGCAGAAGAATTGAAGTTCAAGGCCAGCTTGGTGAAAATCAAGCCCTCTATATCAATTAGTAAACCAGGTATGTTGCTGTATGCCCCAAATCTCACCTACATAAATAGTAGGAGGATTGAAATTAGAGGTTGGCAGGGCAATAATGTAAGACCCTATCCAAAAAATAAGTAAAACGCAAGGGCTGGGAGTTTGGCTCAAGTAATAGCTAGAGAACCTGCCTAGCAAATGTTGAGACATTAAGTTCACATCCTGCTAACCACTAAATAATAACAACATATTATAGAATTGTGTCTTATATGATTTTATTTCCCTAATTTCAGATTGTTTAACTCCAACAAATGTAAAATGTATGTGTTTAAAATACATAGCTGTTGGGGAAGGGGAGTGGGGAGTAGTAAGCAGGAGAAAATGAGGGAGGGGGTAACAGTGTTTAAAAAGAAATGTACTTATTACCTACTTATGTAACTAACCCCTCTGTTCACACCTTTACAATAAAATAAAATAAAATATGTGTCTGAGAAATTAAGTAGATTTTTCAGCTTATCTTGATTTTAGCAGATTTAAAAATTCTGTATATCTGCCCATAAACTAGAAGATTTTGTTCAACTACGTAATTATTAGTTGAATACCCAAGTAATGGAAGAATGCCTTATCTGATTATTATCACTTTAGGCCTGGAAATTTTACTGAGAGACTCCTGAACTCAGTAAGGTTTAATCCTAAATGGAAAGTAGCATGTTTTTTTCCACTATAAACTGGTTGAGCATTTGGGAAGTTCAAGTCAGAATTCATAGTGACTTTTGGTAATAAAAATGTTAAAAATGAACTCAGGGCTTTGAACGTAACTAAGCAGCCAATCTGTCATCTGAGCCAGGCCCTATTTTCTTATTCTTAAAGATAAATTCAGGATCTTCTCCTATAAAGAAGTAGTAAAGTTTTGAGACTAGTGGTAGAGCATCAGTTGTGAACAAAAAAGCCAACCTCCAGTACCAACACATTAAGACAAAATGAAACAAAAGTT